CCCTAACAACCTAACCACTACCACCACCACATTTATTTGCATCTGCATGTACCCTGGTCTACCTTCCGCCCTCAACTGTGGGAGAAAGGGGCCTTGTCTTCCCCAGCTCAATCCATCCAGCCCCCAATCTGCTTTCTCCTATCTCGCCTGGGGGATTGCACCATATCCTCAACCTCTCCTTTTCCAATGACTTTTTCTCTTCAGCCCATAAACATACTCAAGTCTCTGCTCAAAAAAAGAAAAAGAAAAAAAAAGTAAAAAGAGTCCTCCTTTGTAATTAGACTGTCAAATATTAATATTTCATAAACCTACAATGAAATATAAATTAGATACAGAGATCATATGAACAGGATATAGCCCAGTCAAGCCCCTAATGTATATAGAAATTTCGTATGTGGTGTGGATATAAAAATATAAACTGAGGCATATTAAAAATTTTAAGAGTTTATTTGATCAAATATCCATTTGAATAGGGTAGCTCCAAATTGAAAGTGGTTAGGAGAACTCCCAGTCAGGAACTAGGGAAAAGACTTTTATAGAGAAGAGCCAGAAGCAAAGCAAGGAAATTATTTGGCTATATATAATATATTGGCTATAGCTTAAGCAGATGCCTTATTTGGGAAAGCATAGGTGGCTGTTTGTGATTACTTGTTCTTAGGTTTTCCATTCATAACCTTGAAGCATTACAGGCTCAGGTTTTTATTTGCTTAAATAGACTGCTAGAGTATTAGAACCACATCAGTCTAATGGCTTACTGGTTTAACTTAACAATTGTTTAACTTAACAATGGTAAAACAAAACAGGCATTTGATAAACATTTTTTGAGTGACTGATTTGATGAGCAATGTGTTAAGTAGATATCAGGGATAAAACTATGAACAAGACATAGTCCATGTGTAATATCTATATTAGCTTACAGTTTAATTTCTGTATAAAAAAGATGGAAAACTGGCTACCATTTGGGGGGAGAAATCAGTTTAGATTCTCACCTCATGCAAGACATCAAAATCAATTCCTAATAAATTCATTGAATTTTGTGTAAATCTCCTCAAAAACTTTCCTCAGAGCACATATTTATGATTCTTGCTGAGTCAATTATTATTATAATGGTACTATGCTTATATTCCTCTATATGTATTGCAGTTGTGCTGAAAATAAATAAGGATTTTTCCTTCTTTTTTTTATATTAGTGTTGTTAAATTAAAATTAATTTATCTTTTAACAGTATCATTAGAGATGCATAACTTATTTTTACAATATGTTATAGTTAATTCCTGCCACAACTAATTTTGATGGTCAAGTTGTCCCTGATTTACTCAGTGAGAGCCCCTTCAAGCTGACCCCTCATCAATTTCGCATGCCTCCATCACTTATTTGAGCACTTTCTTACTTTCTGACCTAATAAAATAGTCCAGGCTCGACTTGAACTACCCTTGCATCAAGCCTAGAATCCCTCAGTTCCCAAAAGGAATCCTGGTTCCCTTTAGTAAGAAAAGCAAAGATGTTTTTAAAAATCAGGGAATTCAGTTTCGGCTAGGAAGTAATGAAACTGGCACTCTCTTACACTTCCTGTGAAAACATAAATAGGCATATCCCTCCTAGAAAATGATTTAATGGATCTAATAATCACTTTAAAAGTGTTTGCAGTCCTTGATCCAACAATTTCAATTCTAGCAATCTAGCCTAAGAAACTGACTTGATTATAAAATAAAGTATATCTAAATATGTTTGACACAGTTATTTAAAACAATAAAAAATAAATAAATAAAAAGGAAACAAATTTCTAACTGACACAAACCACATGAAAGTAATACAGTCAAATGATGGATGAATTATGCAGTCATCAAAAATTATGTTTATTAAAACTTTATAAAGCATTCTTTACTTCACAGACAACTTTCTTTAAAAAGTTTTCTTATCTCCAAATTTACCCAGCTCCCATTCACACTTCAATTTCCTATAGTATGGCTTCTATCAGAATCATTCTAATTTCTCTGTGGTACTCCCTCCTTTTTGGAAACTTTCTCTTCGTTTGTTCACATCAGGCTCTGCTAATCCTTCTACTATCCCCAGGGAATTCTTCTCATTCTCTTTTGGGGGTTCCTTTTTGTCCACCTGGCTCATAATTTTATTAAGTATTACACAGAGTTCTTGTTGAGATGAACTTTACATCTTACTCTACATAGTAGTACACCCCTTAATCTGAGGTTATTCACATTTCAAGCAATAATTTAATTTCAACCAAACATCATTTGTTACATTTAATTAATGTTGCTAATGGTAATGTATTATTTTACAGGTTTTTTTTTGTAGTCATTTTGTCTATATTTTATTTTATAGTTGTATAAGAGCTATCAGCATAAGGAGCACCTACCTAGTTTTATGGGTATGTACATAGTAATATTATAAGACAATTCTAGGGATCTACAAAAATATATTTTCATTGAAAGAGGAATTTCTACATTATTGACTTAGGAAAAACTGTTTTAGATGCTGAGAATCCCATAAATGTTACCTTTCTTCCCACATTGGCTTAGAGCCAAATTGTCAGCCCATCTCCAGCAGTGTTTAAAATCTGATGGAATATTTTGTGATTAACCCATTTCCCACTTCGGAAAAAAAATGTGCAGCTCACTGCCAGCGTTAATTTAATTTTACATGAACACGCTCTTTGAGGCTGAAGCAAATCTGACTAGTTTTCAATGTGAAAATAAAACATAAGAACTGTTCTTGGAGTTATTTCTAAACAGAACCAATCTCTAATCTTAATGTAACAGAGATTATACATAGATTAGATTCATGAATCTTCAGCTAACCACTGGTCGAAAACAACGTTAACATCACACATAGGAATGCTACATTTTCTAGCATTCGACATATTCAGCGATTGAGAATTACTATATTTTGTAAATGGAAATACCACTACTAAAAACAGAATGCTATAAATAGAATGATGTCATTTGTTTCCAATGACTCGAGCGATGCTAAAACAATAATAAAAATGAGATATTTCGTGTAAAACTTTGGGGATAAGTTTAGGACAGTAATCTGCGAGTTATCTCCGGGTAGACTCTGCAGCTGCAAGTGCTGAGGGCAAGTATTTTTGGGATAAATTCACTTTGGTTCTGCATAATTTCCTATATTTATTCTCTCTTTTCTTCATTTTCCTCATCACTATTCAATATTTTTATTGTGTTATATTGTATGTATCTGGAAGGCTGCCCTAAATCCTTTCTGGAACAAGACTGAAAGTAAATTCTTTTAGTAGTGGGCAAAAAGTAATAAAAAATATGAATGCAAAATAATATGGAGTAATTGTACAATCTTGGGTGACTTTGAGTCTCAAATTTGACATGAAATACAAATTAATACACCTGTATAATCATTTCTACAGGAATATATGGAGATAACAGATACTTTCTGTTAATCTACTTCAAAAACCAGCAAGACCAATGCTATCTTTTTCTCTTAGGAAAAATACCAGTGCCCTCTAGTGTCAAAGATGCACCTTGCACAGTGCCCTTCATATCAGTTCATCTTCAAAGAGTAATTGTAATAACACGAAGCTAGGGATAATTTTTAAAAATAAATTTGGGAACATTGAATCCTGGGCAGCAATATATAAGCATGCTATAATCCTACAAATCACTGTCTAAACTAGTCCTCCTCCCCGCCCCATGTTTTCAAGATTAAGGAAAACACAAAAAATAACTCCCTGCAGGGGACAGAACTTTTTTAATCCGTTGTTTTCTCAGGCTTCTCACGTTTAGTCCAGTTTCTCTGGAACCCAGATAATATTCTCCTCATTATTTTTATCTTTTAATGCAATGCCGATTGGGTTTATTCATAGTATGTAAATGTAATTAGAATTGTAGTAGTCCCCGCTTATGAGGGGAAGAGGCCTTTTTCAAGACCCCCCACTAGATGTCTGAAAGCATAGATAATACCATAACTGTTTTTCCTTATTCATACCTATTTATGATAAAGTTTAATTAATAAATTAGACACAGTAAGAGATTAATAACAATCAAATATAACAATTATAACAATATACTGTAACAAAAGTTATGTCAATAACTTTGGGGCCATTATTAAGTATTTTACTTAAGTAAAATGGCTTATTTGAACACAAGCACCAGGATGCTGCAATATCAGATAATTGATCTGATAACTAAGCTGGCAAGCTCCTAAGTGACTAAGGGGTGGGTAGCTATTAGAATACAGCATGTATATGCTGGAGAAAGAGATGAATCATAAAACAGTTGGGACAGAGCAAGACCTCTGGTAATTTCATCACGCTGTTCAGAATAGTGCACAATTTAAAGCTTATGAACTGTGTTTTTCCGGACTTTTCCTTACAATGTTTTTGGACTACGGTTGACCACAGGTAACTGAAACCACAGAAAGCAAAATTGCTTGTAAGGGGTTACTACTATATAGGTACAGACTCTAAAGACCTAATCATTGGTGATGGTGGAAATTATTTACTATGGCATGCCTGCTTATGTAACTGTTCAATCCTTGGTATTCCAGCTGGGTGAAGCCCCCAAAAGCGACCCTGAAGCTAGTCTCTTGGAACACTCTTCCTTCTTCAAAAGGTGGTTCCAAACTATCTGGGAGCGACTAGAAGGAGACCGGTTCAGGCGCTTTGTTTCCCCATTTGCCTTTACTGCGGACCTGGAAACTCACTCCACTTGGCCCTAGCTTGTTACAAAGCCCGGGGTGCCTTTGGGTCTCGAAATACGAGCCCCAGCGCGCCATGCTCCCCAGCCTGCAGGTGGCATCCGCGTCCTTCCACCACGGAAAGCCGTAGCGGAGTTGAGGGGGCGCTGCCGCCCCTTTCCCAGCCCAGAGCGCAGAAAAGCTGGACGGTGCATTTCCCGGATAGGTTCTGAAACACGCTGGTTGATCCTTTTCCCCGCCCACCTCAGAAGGGTCGGCGCGCGGTGATTGGCCGCGTCGTGGGGGCGGGGCTCCAGGAGGTGGGCTGAGGGGGCCGGGCCGCGAGCGGACAAAAGCCGGGAAAAGGAAAACCCTGCCCTGCGAGTGTGGGTCAATGCGTTTTTGCGGAGGAGGTGTTGGACTGCTAGGGCCCCGCTGAGATTGTCAGTTTGCGCGCTTTTGAGTTTAAGCGTGTGTGGCTGTGGCGACCCCCAGCGCGTCGCCAGCGTACCTTCCTCTGCAGGTAACCGCAGGCTGTGAGGGCGGCCCCGGCCCTTGACTTCGGAGGAGGCTCTGAGTCTACCAGTGGCCGGAATAGGAAAAAGGAAGAAAGCTCATATTTTGGGTGTGGAGGGAGGAACTTACAGGGGAGTTCTGGTCGCAAGGAAGGGGGAAAACCAGATATTGCACGTGGGATAGGGTAATGGGGAGGAAGAGAGTGCTAATGCCTGGGTGTGTAGAAAGCTTGCTCTTGGTCACGGGAGGGTGAAAGTGGGCGGTAGAAAGTTGCATACAGTGACAAATGGAAACCCAGGTCTGCACACAGAAAGAAAAATCGAGCGGTGGGAAGTTGCAAGAGCGCTTGGAAGACTTAAGTCTTGGGTTTAGAGGCAAGAAAACGTGCGGCCATGGGGAGCTGACTGCAAAGAAAAGTGGAAGCCGGGGACTTGGGCGTGTGCTGCGAACTCAGGGTGCAGAGTGGATGCGTCAGCCTAGGGGGCGGGAAGGGGGTGGGGCTCCAGCTCCGTCTGAGGGGTGTTTAGTAGACCACCCGGTTGCAGTCAGGACCGAGTTAGGGGGTGCAGGAGACAACGCTGCCGCCGCCTGGCTCTCGAATAATGGGGGAGGCGTTCTCTAGCCGACTCCTGGTCCCTGGGGTTTAAAGGTACGGCGCCGGAGAGGGAAGGGGAAGGCGTGGAGACCAGCAAGAAGGAACCGAGCCAGCTGCAGTTGCAGCCACAAGGACGTATACAGGCCAAGAGCCTGCTGGTCACAGCGTCATCTAAGGACGTGCAAATCCCAAGACCAGCTAACGCATGACGAACCCGGCTCGCGCCCACCGACGCACCTCCAGTGCGTTACCGGTGCCCTGTAACCTTTAGTCAGAAGATGCCTGTGGACCTAAAACTGCCCTTCGCCCTTTGGGTACACTCTGCACTATATTTTAAACCAGATAAACGGGCTGTCTCAATCCTGAGGGAGAGGTTTGTTGTCTTTCTAATCCTTGTTGTTGTTTTTTTAGGAGATAAACTGCACTCAGCTGAGTGCAAGATTAAGAGGAATTGATTAGAAGTTGACTCTAAAGGTAAGAATTGGCAGTTTCTCCCTTTCTGTATTTTCTTTGATTTGACAGTACTGCGTTTAATTGGTCTAGGAAATCTTAGAGTTCGGCGGAAGCACTGCAAGGGAGTGAGTCAGAAATATTTCCAACAATAAATTGCAACTACTTGCTTGTTTCTCTCAGTTCAGTGTCTTCTCTGCAAGAGGCAGTTTTTGCCCAGAAATTATCATAGTTCATGAAAGTAGCTGTTAAAAAATGGCTAAAAATTTGGAGTTGATGAAAATAATATTAAACAGGATGAGCAGCTCTTTTTTCTTAAACTACTTTGTATTAGTCCAGGTTTATTTTCTAGAAATGCACAAGTGTGTCAGGAATTCATCTGCTTTCAGACTAAATGAAGTGGCCTGTTGGAAAAGTCCTTCCTTCTGAAGTTGGGGTTTAGGTGGAGATAGAAAATCGGGAGGGAGGGGTCGGGGAGAGCAAGCGTAAAGAAGTGAATCCAATGGGACCTAAAGCCCATCCCATGAAATTCAAATCTAAAAGAAATAAAATAATGTCCTTCATTGTAGTAAGCCAGAATCTACAATAAAGCTTTCATTGTTTAAAGAGTGGTAAATTTCTAGCTAAGTAATGTGAGGGAAAACTGAAATGTTTCAGTTATGCATTATGAGATATAAAAAAGATTACTACACAAAACATTTACTTCAACTGAGAAGGAAATAGTTAACTAAAAAATACTCTCTCAATATTGAAATTTCAAGTATGATATGACCTTCTATTAATTGTGTTTGCCATCAGGGAAAAATAACCAAGCCATAACTCTTACGTAATACTATATAGGAAATGGAAATGTAGTATTAAGACCAAGATAAATGAGCTGCCTTTTTAAAATTTTGTTTTGTTTTAAGTACAAGGACAGATGTGACAATGGGATCAGCATGACTGATTATATACTTTAAACTGTACCATGAATTATACTTGAAATTACAAACAGGAAGTAATTGACTCATCCACACCAGTTCCTTTCTTTTATTCTAGCTGAGTTCTAGATGGTTCCTCAGTAATGACCTTGAGAACCTCCTAAATAAACAAGATTATAGAATTGCAAATTTGGGAAGTGAAAATGAGCCTGGGATAAGAAATATATCCTGACTTCACAAAGAACTGAGGCTTACAGTCTACTGCTCTGTTACATTTGTTATTTGAAGGCCAAATTACTTTAACTAGGTCAGTTCTGATTTTTCCTGTCCTTGGCTTTAACTTAAGGGGATAAAAGCAATTCGCAGTTGTGTTGCTGGGGGAAAAGTTGTGTTTCCATTAGAGCATCATGAAAGAAAGCCTTGGCTTCCTCTGCCTATCAGGGGACAAGCATAGGACACGAACTTTCTTTAAGCCTCCTAGTTTTGCTTCTTCCCAAGGGTGCACCCCCGCCCTTGCTGGGAATCAGATGGATTTGTATTTGCTACCCCCACACTGCCTTCCTCAAAATGACATCTCTTCTTGGAACAGTTCTGCGTCCCTATGCTACGCACTAGCAGCTTATCTTTTTGCCATTGAACAGCCAGAACAGCGCAGGAGCTGGGATACCAAGGAAGAGGACTGAGACTTGCTTGGATCCTGAGCAGTGGCCCTTCTATATACAGATTTCTCTCATTAAGAAATCACTTTTGTGTTTAGCTCAGCATCCCCTCTATCCATTATTGTCTCTGGAAATCATAGTTCCACCAGGAATTCATCTTTCACTTTTAGACTTTAAGTTCTTTAAACAGGTTGTAAGAACTTGCACAATATCCTCAAGGGTAGTTATTGTAACCAAAACGGCCTCTTAAAAGAGGGGAGATATTAGCACTCATCATTCTGCTCATCTTGAGGGCCCAGTAAACTGAGGAGTTGGGTAGAAGTGTTCAAATATGCATGATATTGTGGAAATAATCTTATTTTATAAGACAAACTAACAGGCAAAACTAATGATTACATTATTAAGGGCATGTTACAGGGTCAGGCTCCCCACACTCTAGCCCTCTAGCCAGGTGGCCTTGGGTGTTGCAGGAAGTGACACCCAACGGAGGAATTCAGACACTCAGACAACTTTGTTAAAGGAAGGAGAATTTATTAGGCCGGCAGAGCGCGTGGGGTAACAACTCCATGCAAGAGCTCACTCTAGTTAGATTTATTACAGTTTATATACTTCTGCAGTGTCCATGCAAGGGGTACGTGGTTCCTTTGTCTGAGGTTTCACATGTGCCTCCTTACACAGGTTGGGGAGGGGGAGCTTCAGGTGGGGGGCTGAATTTCCAGACCACTGGTCTTACAGGTCGTTTGTTTGTAGAACCCGTGACCTTGGCATTATCAGCACCATTATAGGATTCTTGAACAGAGAGAGACGGGACACCTAGGCTATAAGCAGGGAGCAGCACTTATTGATGCCGGCACCTGCTCAGCGGATTCCTATCCAAAGGCTGAGCTCTAATTGTAATATAACAAGTAGTTTTACACAATCATGTTATTCCTACATAGCTACAGAGATAAGGAAGAACATTATTTGGTTGGCAAGCTATGAATCAACAGATGTCAGCTGGGGAGTCCTTGAAGTGAGGGGAGGTAGCTATGGGGAAACATGTTAGCTGGAGAGCACTGGGCAGAATGAGGGAGAGAGCAGTTTTGACTGGCTGAGTCGGTCATTTCTGCAGGCCCTTTTCTTTGTATTTTTTCAGATTCCTCCTTTCCTCTCTCATAGGAAGTTAAATAGGAAAATAATTTTCATTTTTCAGGGTTGTTATGAGAGAGGGCTGACTAAAACCACACATGAAGCATGTAACACAATGCTTTATAGAGAGAATATGTTCATTTCTAATGATAAATATCATTGTTAGCTTTTTATGCAGTCATGCTATTATGAATTGCTCTTTTAGTAGTCACCAAATCGTATTTTGTTTTTATACTAATGAAGTAAATGATAGATATCTTATCTCTTTTTTTATTTCTAAAGGTTTATTGCAGTCAAAATGTCTCAAAAAATCCGTGGTGGTTCTGTGGTAGAGATGCAAGGAGATGAAATGACACGAATCATTTGGGAGTTGATTAAAGAAAAACTCATTTTTCCATATGTGGAATTGGACCTGCACAGGTAAATGAATTATAGTCATGTGCAGCTTAACAACAGGGATACATTCTGAGAAGTGTGTAATTAAGTGATTTTTGCCATTGTGCAAACATCACAGAGTGTACCTACACAATCCTGAATGGTATAGCTTACTATATACCTAGATTATGGTATATAGCCTCTCGCTCTATAGAGGAAGAAAAATAATTTTTCCCCTACCCTTCTGGGTTCTCAGCTGAGACATCCCTGTAATAAAAGGACTAACAGGAGGAAAAAAAAAAAGTTTAAAAATATATATATCTCCTGTATACATGAGAGTGACCCAGGAAAACTGAGTGACTCCCCAAAATGGCTGAAGCCGTTACCTTAAATATTTTGTTGAAGACAGGATCTTGGGAGTGGGAGAGGTCAGCGATGGCAGATACCAGGAAAAGCATTAACCAAAGTAACCAGATGTAAGGTGGTTATGCAGATTTAAATCATGTTTTTCTGCATGTTAGAATTTCTAGAGATAAGGTTATTCCCCTCTTTCTGGTGGGGGGTCGGGAAGAAACCCTTACAAATTGAGGTTTTCCTCACAAATGTCTTTTACAATAGGTAAATGTCTTTTACAATAGGTAACTGCTACTTGGTTTACAGAGCTTTTCCGCATCTGCCATTTCTTAAAATTAACCAGCCTAAAATAATCCTTATGCCAAAGAGACATATTTTGGGTGACAAATTCTGTTCCCCTACAGCTCCTAGGCTACAAACCTGTACTGAATATCACAGGCAGTTATAACACAATGGTAGTATTTGTATAATGGGTAGCACTACAACAGCTTAGCAGTCATTAGGTGATAGGAGTTTTTCAGCTCCATTATAATCTTATAGGACCCCTGTTGTATATGTGGCACACAACTACACCTCATAACAAACTCAGAAAGTATAATCCAAGTGATTTCAGGATATGACTAGCTTTTTTATACATAGATACAGCTATACCTTGTGAATAAAACTCTTGGGATAGAGTGCCTAAATACATGCAAATGCATCTTCTAATTTAATTTTAACAAGGCTAGAAAAGCTGGACTTATTGTTCAGAAGGCAAGAAGTATGATGGAAGCAAAATGGTTCTCAGGTATCGCCAAACCTGTTTCCTGTGAAAGTTTTATTAGTAAGAAGTTAGTGGCCAAGATTAGCACAAGGTATTATCTGTGGAAGGGAAAATAATAGAGGTACATCCTCTATTAAACAGGTACATCCTCTATTAAAGTAAATGTAGTTGACACAATTTTGTCCTTTCAAGCCCTATTTTTTATCCCTCTACTTAAATGGACCTTTCTTCCTTTTATTGCTTGCCTTTTGCCTTTTTCATACAATTTTAGCATAGAAAGAACCTTTGGAGTTATTTTATACAACCCTCATCTTTCAGAAGAAGTTCATTTGTGCCCTGTATTTAAATGTATAGAGACAAATATGGAAATCTCTGTGGAATTCTCTCATTTTTTTCCCTGTGTTTTTCGTAAACTTGCTCATGCTTTTTGAACATTTGAACTAGGTAGAGACAGAATTTTTACAAGGGTGAAGTGGCTGAAGGCTGACATGGTAAAGTTTTGAATATATTCTAGCCAAACTACTGGCAACTCTAAGTGTTTATCTTGACCCAGAATTCTTCATCAGACTCTGTCCTGAGGACCTGTTATATTTGCTTGGGTATAGACATTTAATTTACGTGGTGTCATTAGATACTCTTTTAAGTTATTCTAAGCCTAAGCTGTTGATAATGTCTATATTGCAACCATGAGAAGGAACTAGGAAATGAAGCATAGGAAACATCAAGTGGGTTAAAGAAGCATTTTATAAGGACTCTCCTGTTTCAACTTTACATGGCAACAGGTACATTTACAGAATTCTTGCCAGTAGAATTGCTGCAAAGATGCTTTGAGCCTCTTTAGCCTAGAACATGAGGAGTTTTAAAGGACAGCCCTTAGGCCTAGAAAGAAAAGAGTTAATGGCTACAGACCAAAGAATTTTTGGAAACTCAAACAAGTTTTAAATTGTTCTAAAATCATTACATGACTGGTTCCTTTTGAGGCGAGTGGAGCAATTTGTTTGTTTAGTTTTCTGCAGGCTGGACCAAGGTCCAGGCTATTTATTCATTCTTTTCTCTTAGAAATGTGAAGAAGAGAAGCAAAAAATTCGCTAATTTGCTAATAGATTCTTCTGATGAAAAATAGTTCCTGTGACTCTGAAAACTGCTGACCACATTCCTTTTTTAAGAAAGGAGTAGACTTTATAGATTTTCAGCATTTCTTATAGTCAGGTAAATTACCTAAGGTGAAGGCAGTCTGGAATTCTTTTCATTTGGAAATACATCGAGATTGCTACCTTTACCTTTGCATCATGAGTTGGAATATGTAAGGAAAGTTCTAAAATGAGAAATCCAGAGGCTTCATGGTCCAGCAAGTTTTGAAAGTTGAAAAAGCTGAAAAACCTTTTTAAAAATTTAGAAAACAAAATAAATTGTCACATTTCTGTTTTGTTTTTCCAATTTTCAACAAACTATTTTGTACTTCAGGTAAAGCTTTATAATCATTGTCTGTGCTCCGTGAATAACCAATATTCTTTTCAGCTCTGAATAACTTGCAGTCTGGGTGTTGGTGTGTATTAAGCTATTACTCTGGAGCATGTAAAACCTTTGCTTGATTCCATAATTTATTCAGTAAACTGCAGGTTTGTTTCCAGACCAGAGAACTTACTCACAAATTTGGGAAAGGTTCATCATATGAGTAACAGGCATTAATGAAAGTGTCATTAGCATTTTTGCCACTGACTGTCACATTGATAACTTCTACTACTTTAATTCAAAAATACAAAAATAATTTTTTAAATCCTCTGAGCCCTTTATTTTTAGATCCCAGTATTTACTAAGGAAAAAAATACGGTTGTGCTTAGGCTTGCATTTTTATGCTAATCGTATGGAAGGAAGTCTGAAAAAGGATTGGTTGCTCCAGTGCTATTATCACCTCTATATGATGAAAGCGGGCAAAGTTGCAGAATGCATTGGTATCCATTCAGTTTCCTTCTAGACAGCTTCCTGCTGCAGCACAAGGAGCTATGGCCCAGAGGTCCAGCCTCTCAGTGCTTATTTTAGTTGGCAGCCATCTTCCGGGGTGCACTAATGTTGAAACTTGTCAGATTTAGGTGTATTTAGAGCCTTCATTCCCTGCAGGGCCAGCTCTGCATGCCAGCACCATACAGAGATAGAACAGAAGCACCCTCAACCACCTATCAGTTTGCATGGAAAGTCCCACTTATGAGTTTTCCCTCTCAGCTATGATTTAGGCATAGAGAATCGTGATGCCACCAATGACCAGGTCACCAAGGATGCTGCAGAAGCTATAAAGAAGTACAATGTTGGTGTCAAGTGTGCTACCATCACCCCCGATGAGAAGAGGGTTGAGGAGTTCAAGCTGAAACAAATGTGGAAGTCACCAAATGGCACCATTCGAAATATTCTGGGTGGCACTGTCTTCAGGGAAGCTATTATCTGCAAAAATATCCCCCGGCTTGTGAGTGGATGGGTAAAACCCATCATCATAGGTCGTCACGCTTATGGGGATCAAGTAAGTCACGTTAGCATAATTTGATTTTCCATTCTTCTTTCATGGCCTTTGGATACCCAAAAGTTCTGATTTATATGTGTTTTATTCTTTTAGCGTCTACTCCCGTTAAACAAAGCACAAAACTGAGAAGGGTATATATGTATGTCTGTATGTTTACACATGTTTAGGTAGAAATACATAAAGAAAAACTTAGAGATAGGCACCCATCTCAACACGAATGATTTTTTTCAGACATGTTTTTTCTGCCTTTATCTTTTAATTAGGTGTTAAACCATGTGATATGGACATTTTTGTATAGATAATTTCCTGTGATTCAACCAGAGCAGTTCTCAACTCTGGCTCTGGCTATGAAAGGATCCTTTTGAAGGTTTTTTTGGTGTTTGTTTTATTTCGCTTTTTAAAATAATTTCTGTTGTTTTGTATTAATTCCAATGCTTAAGACCCACCCTACACCAGTGAATCTGAATTCCATGGGATTCAAGCATTCAAAGCTGCCCAGGTGATTCTAATATGTAGACAGGGTTGAAAAACACCAAAGATTATATTAAACGTCATTTCATACATAAAAGGAAAAACCGACTCAGTTGTTGAAAGCAGTCTTTTAACATTTCTTTCCTGCTTAGAAAAGAAAGTATAGTTTCTGTACTTATGTACAAGTAGGCCAGTTGCCAAATTAAACAGAAAAGCTGACAACTAAACAAAATTAAAATTCCATGTTGAGACTGAGGTTTCAGACTTTCATACAAGGCATCGTATGTCTTAAAAGAGCCTTAAAAACAAGGATCCCTAATTCTGAAATCCAGAGGCTTTGATGTGGCTGTCCTTAAAAACACTCTTGCCAGGGCAGACCACCCTGTGTTCCAAGGACAAGGTTGCTGAGTCAGTCCTTGAGGGACAGTCTCCCTTTGTTCTATCCTGTAGCTCGTACTGTCCCTTCTTCCTGGCCTTCACAGATGCCTCCCAGAAGCCCAGAAGAAGAGATGTAGGTGGGAGTGCTACAGACTCGCTAATCCTAGGAACACCACTCTGAGTTCTTATGAGTTCAGTGGTATCATTTTTGTCCTTTTTCCTTTTTTATTGGTATCAGTCACTTGGAAGAATGGTCATTCTATTTATTAAAGTCCAGACTGAAAATTCCAAACCTCAGGTTGAGTCCTGATTATTTAAATGTGCATAGGCCTGTACAAAGCATTAATGGTACTTTGGTGTTTTGGTTTCTCCATGTTGAGAAATGGGAATAAATTACCACCCATAGTAAAGGATTTTATATGTCAGAAGTATTCTGCATAGAATAGATATTGAATCTCTACTATCTGACAGCTCTTTACGAGCTGTCATTAGTATTCTACGCAAACTAACAAATAGGTATAGCTGGCACCTTCTGGTTCTTTGACTCTGAAAGCATGTCTTTGTTAGGTCGGAAGCTTCATAAGGGAAAATACTTTGTTAATTCTCTCTCTTCTCCATATCACTGCTCAGAAAACTGCCCTGTGTTTGGTAGGCACCCAATAAAAACTGATATTTAATGTGCATTATCAGTAACTAGCTTCGGGGACTCTCTGGACCTTTTCGTCCCCATCTTCAAAATAAAAGAAGGTTGAGCTATACTGCCCTGTTTGTCTAGGTGTCTTCCAACTCTATTCTATGATTTATTTTCTTTCCTTATAATTTGTGTTAGAACAATTTTTTTTTCCTTTATACCTTCCTCTCCCTTCTCCTCCACATAGTACAGAGCAACTGATTTTGTTGTTCCTGGTCCTGGAAAAGTAGAGATAACCTACACACCAAGCGATGGATCCCAAAAAAAGACGTACCTGGTTCATAACTTTGAAGGTATGTAATTAAAATTTATCATGATCATTTATTTACAGATCATTTAGACAACATTATTTCTGGTTGTTTAAAGTTAGTTGTGTGGCTGCCCAAGAGTACAACCTGAATTTACAATATTTCTACAGAACCCAAAATGTAACATAAAAAAGAATTGGCTTCCATGTGGCATGGATAAAGGCAAAAAATGGATTAGCCTTTTAATTGGAAATGCATACAAGCAAAAACAAGTAGACAATTAGGCATTTCTCTTAAAACACGAAAGGAATGTTGGCAGGAATCTGTTGTGCATGAATTATATATAAATTGAACATTAAAAGTTTCAAAATCCCCTATCATGTAATCTACCTTTGCTCTGATAGAGTTTGTACTTGAAAATGGTTGTGTTATATATTTACTGAAATTTTCTTCTTGCCTGTCTCTTTATTCTGTGGAAGTGGAACATTTTTTTTTTTTCCTTGCCCACGGTCTTGCTGCTTCAAAGGTCCGTTATGGAAAATTCCACCCAAAAGTTGTTGACGAAATAGAGGACCCTCTTTCTTCACTATCAAAGTTTTTGAAAGCACTCACACAAACAAAAACTCAAAAGTTACCTAGCTTGTGTTTTCCTTGCCTCCTCTAAATAATATGATTTTAATGGACCCTAATACCGCTTGTTTCGGCGCCTTTCACATTCTGAGCTCAAGTTGACCCTGGACACTGGCATGGATTTAAATTCTATCTTTCAATATTAAGGGAGTTCAACTAATAAGAGTAGTGAGACACCAATGATTACATGTAGCATCATGATTTCTACCAATGACAGTATGAACTTTCAGTATCCTCTGGGGACTTACGAGAATTTTCATCCTCTAGCTGAGGATTGAGTGCACACTTAAAATTTTAAAATACATGTTTGAAATTTTAAAAGTATGAAAAGACAGTTTCAAAATTATTCACCCTTTCTTGAGCATATTTCTGGTTCATATCAGTAGTTTTTGGGATTTCAGTATCTTCATGTTTTTCTCATTCTATTGCCCTTTCAGAACAAGTTAGAATGTCCTCATTTAGAACTGACTCTGCCTCAGGAACTCATGGAATATTCAAGTTGGAAGCCTGGCTGAGACTTTTTGAAGCACAGGGCTCAGACAGGGGAGCTGGGAATTGAGTGTTTTGATATCGGATGTCTTTAGACTTGTTACAACTATTCTCCATTTACTTTTCTCCTTTTTTCTCTCATCTGTGTCGTCCCACCCGTCCCCAACCACAGAGGGTGGTGGTGTTGCCATGGGGATGTACAATCAAGATAAGTCAATCGAAGAATTTGCACACAGTTCTTTCCAGATGGCTCTGTCTAAGAGTTGGCCTTTATATCTGAGCACCAAGAACACTATTCTGAAGAAATATGATGGACGTTTTAAAGACATCTTTCAGAAGATATATGACAAGTAACTACAATTCCTTTTTTCCTTTTTCTTTTTTCTCTAGTAAGTTGGCATTCATAGTTAGAATTTTTATCTTTATCCCTTTGATTCTAGGACAAATTGAATGAAAGCCATCATTTTCCCTTAAAGACAAGGGCAAAACTTTTTTTAACAGAAGTGAAACAATCACTCTAAATTGCTTTTCGAAAGTAAATGTGTTCTCAAATAAGAGTACCACATTTATTTTTTTCGGAGACAGATTGTCTAATGTTTGAATAAAGGTACCCTGTTAGTGATAGAAAGTTCTAATTTTTCAAGTGTTTGAGTTTCTTAGTTGGGCCTATTTCTATTCTTTCTGAAGCCTGTTGTTATCATTTAAAAGTCTGCTTTGGTGTAGTCACTTGAACTGAAGTCTATATTTATAACAACTTTAGATTCAGCAATATGTGAGCATGTGTTAAATTTTAAGATGGCATAACTCCCTTTTGAGGTGCAAGTGTTCTGTCCAGGACACACATTTTGGATATCTTTCATGAGGTGTTTTAATTCCTCTTCCCACTGCCCATCTATACCAAGCCCAGGAGCTATCCTAGTTTCCTAACTGATATTAAGCAGTAGAACAGTCTTTTTTCCCCCTTAATACATGCTTAAAGTAAGGTGAATCTCAGGAATCTGATCATTAGCATATTGAAAATTATAAAAGTGTTACTCAGGATACTACTATCTTACTTAATTCTCGCATCTTTCCAGAGTGGGTGAAATCACCCTTTAGATGGGGGAAATTGGGGCTTCACAGCTAGAAAATGATTGGGCAGGGTTTTGAGGCCATGTCTGTCAGATTCTCAAGTTTGTGCTGCTTCTGCTAAAAAGTGCTGCATCCAGCCTCACTCCTCCAGCCCCCGTTAGAAAACCAATGTCTTCCTTTTTATCATTCTTTTCTCTCTCGGTTCTTAGACAGTACAAATCCCAATTTGAAGCCCAGAAGATCTGGTATGAGCATAGGCTCATCGATGACATGGTGGCCCAAGCTATGAAATCAGAGGGAGGTTTTATTTGGGCCTGCAAAAACTATGATGGTGATGTGCAGTCAGACTCCGTGGCCCAAGGTAAGCGCTGGAGGACCTAGTAGAGGTGGAGCCTGGCCTGTGGCGGGTTGGTCATGCCACAGTAGTTCTCTGGTTTAGAGAGGGGGATTCTGTAGCCTTTTGTTTGTAGAATCATGAAATGTTAGTGCTGCAAGGCATTCTGGTCCATCTTCTTAGCTGACAGATGGGGAGATTAAGCTCAGACTGGTAAAGTGACTATACTCAAGTCAGCAGGTTGAGACTCTTGGCTCCAGCCTTAGCTATGTTAACATAGCTTATCTCTCAACCTTTTTTCCCACTTGAAGTTTCAATACCTCCAGCAGTAGCCCAACTGCCTGATCTGAAAATCATTCCCTTTCCCTGCCTTTATTTTCCCTGTGCTGAGAATGTGAAAAACGAGGTCACTCGGGCAAGGAAGGGGTAAAGTGAGGGGCCAACAGGGTTCTCTGTTAGAGCTCATTCATCTGGCAACACAGTCTACTCATGCCTTTCTGCCATCACTGAAGGCTGTTCTGGGCTATATAAAACACATATGTTCACGGCTTACCTTTAAGCACAAGGGAATTGAACATAAAAGCCCAGGGCTGTTCACAGAATCAAAAACCAGGGGCTTTGTGTCAACAGAACTCTTCTTTCTCTGATTTCCTCAGCACCAAATTGTCCTTCAATTCCAGTTACCCATGGCAGCTATGTCAACTTGAAATTCCCGTAATGAATGTTTGTGTTAACTTTAATTATGTTTGCTTTCCCCCAGAAAGTCCTTTTTCTTTCTTTTACGGAAAGTTAAGCATCTCCTATCAGCTTCAAAATCAGTTGATTAACCCTTCCATGTCATAAATAAGTTACACAACTGGTTTAACCTTCTTCCTGTGTCTATAAATCCTCACAGTGAATGCAGTAGAGGTAGGAGTGTTGCTTTGTGATGGCTCCATGGTGGATTAGGGAAAGTCCTTGTAATCAGAGCCCTTGGAAATGGACCCAAATCATTCCATTGTTTCTAAATGTCCTCTTGGCAACAAGAAGAGAGTATTTGATGAGTTATTTCTAATGTAAATGTCGAGTTATGGTGGTAACTTCAAGATAGGAGTTCTGTAGTGTAGGATCCAATAAGACACTGATAAGATACCTGGAACCAAGGTTGTCTGGACAGTGCCAGTTGATAAATATGACCTTAAGGCAGCTTAAACAGATTAAAAGGCAGCAGAGCTGTCCTTAGATTTTTCCTTTGTAGCAGCATGAACACCAAACATTTCATTTATGTCTTCTATTTTGACAGTGGTACCACCGGGTGTCTCCTAACATTAACAGATAGACAAAGTCACCATGGAGACAGTCCACACTCCTCTAGTCAGTAACTATCTTGAGTTTGCTAAAGCCTCAGACCGACACAATACTGTGAAAGGAGCTACTAACCCCACACAGAAATTTCTAACTGTACTCAAAGATGAGTTTAAAATGTTTATTTATTTACTCTCAGACCAAAAAAGTAGTAGCCTGTTATAAATTTGCATGAACTCCACAGGTACTATTGGGAGGTAGCAAAAATGAAGAAAAGGGTTCTTTGATTTCAGTTGTAAAAGAGTGAATAAAAGAAAAGTCAATTGTATGGACTTAAAAGTTGTATTAGGGTTCTCTGAATAGGAAACCAAAGAAAAGAATTGGTTTGGTGGGGGCGTTACAGAGAGCAAGGGCAAGTGAGGCGTTCTTGGATCCATCCCATCCTGTCTCCAACCTGCCTTTTCTTAGAGTCCTAGAGAGCAGCTTGATGGCAAGAGACAACTCATTCATTTTTATTTTTCCAAAACAGTAAAGCATCTGTACATAAGAGCAGTAGTAATATATTGAACTTTGTTCTGTGGCAAATACTATTCAAAGAAATATGAATATACTTCACATATTTATTCATGAATATATGTGTATTGATCTAATACAACAACCCAATTAAGTAGATGTTTTTATTATTCCCATTTTATAGGTGAGAAAACTGAGTCACAGTAGCTAGGAAGTCACAGAACTAGGGTGGATGCAGGCAGTCGCACCCTGAACCCTCCGGCCTGGAGAGAGTGACTCTCACATCTATGAAGGAGGGGAAAATGCGGCCTTTCCAGACTCTCTGGCTCTGAATATGGATTAAGGCCTGCTTTCTGAATGGCAGGAGGATTATCGATAACTGCATGTGCTCATGGTTATTTTGTTTACCAAGACCTGTGAAGATTAAGTCATTTGTTCTCATCTCTGAGAGACCCAGTGCTCTTCATGCAATTGAAGCCAATACTCACGTTCTGCCACTTATAGGTTATGGCTCTCTTGGCATGATGACCAGCGTGCTGATTTGTCCAGATGGCAAGACAGTAGAAGCAGAGGCTGCCCATGGGACTGTAACACGCCACTACCGCATGTACCAGAAGGGACAAGAGACATCCACCAATCCTATTGGTAAGATAATGTTTACCGTTGCTTTGATTTTCATCCAAAGAGCGATCTCCAAAGGGACTCAGATATGTTCCTTTGGCCACCTGATTCTTTGAGTGTAAAATCATCACCAAATAGCTGCTTTGTTTTACTCTTAAGAACTGTTTTAACATGTTTCTTAAAATATTCATAATATATGCTTTTCCACTTGGCAAGAGAATACATATTACAGAGGAGAATGTTTTCAACAAGCATTTTCCTTTTCCTCTGGTATAGTGAAATGTCACATATGGCTGAGAATCTAAAGGCACACGGATAGATCCTTCTAACCAGATTTCAAGGACAGCACATTAAAAAGAGATTGCAGCCTGTAAGGAGGAGGAAAAACTAATATAGACAAGGGGAAAAGTTTTTATTTGGTAAAATATTTCCAACTCTCCTAAAATTTAGAGTGCATGTGGATAGCATCTAATGAAGTCAGTCACCTAAATAAAAAAAGCTATTCTAATTTTGGGAACTGTGAAACATTTGGGAATATCTCTAGTCAGTATGACTGAAGTGTGTTTTTTTCTCTTTCAGCCTCCATTTTTGCATGGACCAGAGGGTTAGCCCATAGAGCTAAGCTTGATAACAATAAGGAGCTTGGCTTTTTTGCAAAGGCTTTGGAGGAAGTCTGTATTGAGACCATCGAGGCTGGCTTCATGACCAAGGATTTGGCTGCTTGTATTAAAGGTTTACCCAAGTAAGTATGATACCGTGAGCTCTGAGGTCAAATTATCACTTGTCCTCACTGGGCTCTAAACATCAGTGCTTTTTGGAATTACCTGAAGTATTATTTTTCATGTAGTTCAGAGCTCAGCAGACATGATCTATAAATTGTCAGGTAATAAACATTTCAGGCTTTGAAACTAGGCAACTTTGAACTTTGCCCCTGTGGCCTGAAAGCAATCATAGATGATCCAGAAGCTAATGGGTATGGCAGCATTTCAATCAAACTATGTGCAGAACGAGGCTGCAGCCTGGGTTGGGTCCACGGGCAACGCTGCCCTGTGCTGACCCCTGATCTAGCTGACAGTCATTGGGTGACAAAGTTCCATTTAATTTAACAAGAAATTTATGTATAAATAGAAACAAAGGGATCCCTGAGGGTATTTTATTTCCACTCCCCCATTTTCTTCAATTTACAGATAAGAAAAACAGCACAAGTATTAGAAACCCAGTTGGTCATAGTCCCTTCCTTAAGTATCTGTAACCGGAAGTCAGATATTCGAGAGCCCATGAATTGCCCAGGATTTTTCTGAAAACATGATACCCTGTATCCCAGCTGAATTAGCTGCTAATTAGAGACTCTGCTCTCATGATCAGAGTTGGTTACTATGACTCGTCTCCAAAACACCACTAAAGTTTAACACCAATCCCATGTCCTAATTGTGTGTCGTCAGAAATCTCAGTTAGGGTCTGTATACTCCAACAGTGGGGATATACTCAATCACCACATCTTCCTTATCTTAAATTTCCAGCAAGAATTACAGCATTTGATATGTTTTTATCAGTATGGTACATTGCACCCTATTTGAATTCTGTTATCAGTAGGATTATGTTAGCCAGGCCCTTGTCCTTTGTTTGTTTGTTTATTTGTTTTTAAGAAAGACACTGATAGAAATACGATCATTAAAACTTTTTTAAAGGACGTATGACAATTTGGGGGGATATGGATTAAAGCATGGCCGAACCCTGAGTAGGTTTTGTTATTTTTTTAAGAAGTGGGATGCTTTTAGTCTTTAGGCATTAGTCTAAACTGAAGCTTTATGATAGTTTCACCCTCAAGGCTGATGACAACCTGAATGTGAGTGTGGTTGAGCTTCCACTGCAGGCCATCTGGGTCAGGCCCTTGAACCTTGAACACAGTCTGCAGCCATAAATTTGTAGCTTGTTACCGTAATCAGTTTTCTACTAGAAATAAATAAAATGCCACTTTAACTAGCATTTCTAAGACTTCCTCTGCCTGCTACCAGATCAGAGACAAACTAAATTGCCTCCTTTTCTTTTTCTTCCTCTATCAGTGTGAAACGTTCAGACTACTTGAATACATTTGAGTTCATGGACAAACTCGGAGAAAACTTGAAGACAAAACTAGCTCAGGCTAAACTTTAAGGTCATTCCTTGACTTGGGAGGACACGTGTTTTTTTGGTAATTAGGTCCACTGGTTTACATTTTTCTGTATAACACTCAAGAGTATGGGCAAAATCAATTTTCTAATTTGTTTAGAAGTCAGAGTTTATCTTTTCTATAAGATTACAGTCTTTTTCTTATACATACAATTATGCCACCTTCATGAATGTGGCTGGGAACTTTTTAAAATTTTATTTTCTATTAGTAGCTTAGGAATTACTTTAGTGCTGATTTGTACTCACTGTCACTTTTTCTCATGTTCCAGTATAAATGACCAAAATGAAGAGTGCTCGAAAGGGTAAACTATAGCCATGGTATTAGTCCCTAAAATTGTATAAAGTAGAAATTCGCTCCCTTCCCCACTTTTCCATGGCCTGGGGCTCTGGGTGGTTTTGCTGTAACAGGTGTCCCATCCTGTGTGGTAGAGCTGTACCTTAAAAGTTGCCCATGAGTTGGAATGAAGAGCATGGTTATAACTAAGACACAGCAGTCATATATGTAAAGAGCTCTGATTGAACGTTTCGAAAAGGCTAAAGATTTTTGAAGCCACTAAGAGTGTTTGGAATCTAGAATAAATACTACTCGGGGGTTTGTCCTCTGCGTTTGTCTCCTCCTCCTGGCCCTGTGTGGCTTAAGTATTATACTGCCCTGAACAGCATATTTCATCTAAGTGCAATAATACAAGCTGCACCTTTTTTGTACTTCTGCTGGCCTGTTGGGTTTTTTTTTTATATAAATGTGACTTTTTAGAAATTTGTTTTAAACACTATACTAGTCTGTTCTTCATCTAAACTATTAATTAAAGTTAAGTGCTAATGACTAATCTGAGTTTTTATTTATCAAGTGTACTTTAGTTGCCATAGGAATTTGATTTTGAAAAGTCTCTGCCCTCAAGGAGTTTACTGTGGGAAAAATGGATAAGTAAACAGAAAGATGTGGATTCTACAGTGAAAGGGAAAGAAGATTATAGAACAATAGGGGTAACTATAGAATATTAGGGAATCAAACCTATGCACATGCTAAGGAGTTTAGATATTATCATCTAAGTTAATGGGGGGAGAACAAAGGCTTAAGAAGGGAGGGACATGATTATATTTTCATTGAAAAAATAGTACTCCGGTCAGTTTTTATGAAGAATGAATAGTAGTGGAGGGAGGGAGGGAGGGAAGGAGGTGGGAGTTTGGGGCACAACAGAAGAAGGAAGACCAGTTATGAGGCTATTGTAGTATTTCAGGTGGGAAATGATGAAGATCTGAACTGAACTCACAATGGCACTGAGAATGGAGAGAATGGGGTAGATCCTGAGAGCAGACAGTTAAATGGATGTGGGGGGTGGGGGGACGTTTGGTGGGTCCCAGGAGATGTGGGGAACGAGAAAAAGAACAAGTCAGAGGTTTATCAAGTGTCCGACTGCACACCTGGAGAAAGGCTCGTCCATGTCCTAGCATTGTCAGTGTATTATGGGGAAGAAGTTGAGGCACTGGGAGGAGCTCCGATCACGCTTACACAATACGTCAGTGGCCATTGTGGCCTAGAGCCAGGGCTGAGCTAGGCTTCTTCCTACTATACCTGTACATCTTCAGGTTTGGATGAAAGAAGAAAGCATGGAACAAAACGATGGCATTGGATTGGATGATCTTCAGTGCACCCTTTAGCACTCACGAATATGCTGGAATTGATCAGATGAGTTTTTGTGGCAGCAAAGCCCTACCCTAATATCAGGTTCAGCATTTGGCCAAGAATCAGTCAATGTTCTAAAATAATCATAAATGAACAGATGTTGACCAATGGGTCCAGAGACTAATGGTTTATTTTTTAACAGCACTAGGATCGGAATTGTTGACCCAGAAAATGACTGCTGCTTAAAGACAATAGAATCCAGGGGCAGAGAAGCCAAGAGGTCTAGACTTTGAAATTCTCTGAATTGCGAATACTTTTTCTTAAGTAGAATCTTTAACCAAAAATATTTAAAATTTAATCTTAGCAATTAGAATCATAACTCTCCTGTTTTCTTGCCTGATACATAACGGTCCTAAAATGTTCCTGACAAGTGATTTCTCATCCTCCATTTGAGTATTTATTTAACAAAAATTTCCCCCAAATTAAGGGTCTCACCTCTTCCTGTTAAGATTAGAAACTAATATAAAAATATTAAGGAAGACTGAATATTTATATAAATACTACAAAAAATTTGTGTTTTTATCACCTCTACTATTAGAGGTTCTATTTCATAGTCCCTAATTTTAATATTAGGGAGAATGTAGCATCTAAATTGTTAATTCTTCTGGAACAAGAAATTTGAACAATTCTGAATTTGGATGTTATCTCAGACTGAAAGAAGTAAATTTTGCTAATATTGTAGCATTGTTTGTAACTCTTCATTTTAATATTTTTAACTTTTGCATCATTTGTTACAGCATTTTCTCTCTGCCTTTCTCCATAGACACACATAGGCTTTTCCCCTCACCCCCGAATTTCAGAGTAATTTAAAGACATTGTACCTGAAAATTATATAATCGTATTAATCAATGTTACCCAATAAACTTAATAAAAAATAAAGACATTGTGTCCCTTTACCCCTAAATAATCCAGTGTACATTTCCTAAGAACAATCACATTCTCTTACATAAACAATACGATTATCGAAATGAGGAAATTTAACTGATATGATACAATATAGTCCCTATTCAAATTACAACTGCTTCAATCATCATTATAGCTCCAAGATCCAATCTAGGATCATACATTGCATTTAGTCGTCATATCTCTTAAGTCTCCTTTTGTCTGAAACAGTCCATAAGCTTTTCTATGCCTTTCTTGACCTTGACATTTTGAAGCATTACAGGCTAGTTATTTTGTAGAAAGTTCTTCAATTTGAGTTTGTCTGATGTTTCCTGGCTATTCGATTGAAGTTTTGCATTTTTTGCTTTTTAGCAGAGATACTACTGAAGTGATACAGCCTCCTCAGTGTCTAATAGTGGGGAAAGTAGAAAGGACGTGAGATGATAGGTTGTCCCAATATTGGTGAAGTTAACTTTGCTAATGTGGTTAAGGTGGTAGCTGCCTTGCTACTCCACTGTGAATTTACTATTTTCTCCTTTGTAAACATAAGTAACATGCAGAGAGATGCTGTGTAAGTATACTGCTCATCATCAAAATCGCCCATAGTTTTAGCACCCATGGTTGATTTTATACCTTTCATACCTTCTATAGTTACTTACATTATAAATATATTACATAATTAAATTCTGTAAAGAACAACTTTCCCATCTCCCTGTTTACTGATTCATATCAGTATGGATTCATGGATTTTTGCTATACTCGATGGGTTGTACTCTAACACTATCATGTATTTCGATGCTCAATCTGCCTCATATTTAGTCAGTGGGATTCCATTAAGCTGGGTCCTGTCATCGTTCTAGCATGAGGTTTTTGCAAGCAGTTAATTGGGTAAAGAAAGATAATGTCTTGTATATTAGGCTACCAACTATCAAGTCTTACTTTCCTTAACCAAGGCTTCCTCTGAGGAGGGCCTTTACATTCAGTTTTGTTTTTTCCTACCAATGGAATGTGTCGGTCCTTGCCTTCCTTTCCTGATCAGACCCCGCAGTGGCTCAGCAGAAAGTATTAGAAGAGCGCCATTTTCGAGATGGATCTCCAGAGACTGGAGACTTATTTAACAATTTAGCGCCGGCATTAAAGGACAGATAAAAGTTAGAAGCAAATGAAGGTACTAGGGCGCTAGGGTCACTAGTTACTGATCCTGTGGAGAGACGAGTATATTCACTTTTAGTTTTGTGGGGCTTACTGGATCCATTTTATTTTACAATAAAAAGGTTAAAAATATTTTTTAAAAACCCGTGTCAAATTCCTTGGACCACATTCTTTTGGATCAAATCCAAAGACTTTCCGATGCTGGCTCACCTCCTTTTTTGGTTTGCCTTGATAGAGTGACACAACTCCAGTCACATTGTCTTTAACTTTTTCAAATATAAGCTAGAAAGTGAGTCTCTAAAGTGTCCTGCCCTGTAATTTCACCTGGATTGTACATTAAGAATTATAAGTAGATATGCTCGAGGATCTTTAGTTGGCTTTCAGACCTTCCTTCTCTCACTTGCTGAATCCATGACACTTTCTTATTAGGAGTATTTGGGTTTAAAGCTTTCATTTGATTTCTGCATGGGAATTATCCTCTTCCTGATTTTCTTTGCTTTGTTCTGCCTTGTGCATTATATGTTCAGAGACTAAGTTTCAACACATTTTCTAACTAAATCACATTTTCCCATTTTCAAGTTACTAATTTAACTGATTTTTTTTCTAGTTGAAGAGCTTTTTAGGCATTTCTTGGAAGATTTTGATACTGCAAATTTCCCAAGTCAGTTCTGAAATGTTTAAACTACATGATAGAAACTGAAAGCTGAACATTGACTCTGAGTTTTTATTCTAATATTCTAGAACAATTCTCACTTATTTAAAATTTCCATATTTTCTGGTTATAGTTAATCCACTTGCTAGAATTACTCAATGAGTTTATTTTTCTTTCAATCATGTTTCTATTTTTTTATAATTTGAGATTACCTGCATGTTGGTTCCTGCAAATTAATTACCACACCTTGTACTATTCCATGAAGACTTATAACTTGGATCTTAGCCAAAGTTTTTTAATCTGGTTTTCCCATCTGGATCAAATTCTTTATATGAGAGGTTCTTTATATCTTTGAACACAATTTACAAATAGATCTGAGTTTGTCTTCTAATCCTGACACTTTGGGGATATCAGTGTCCTATAAGACCCACAACTTTATATGGCGGTACTTTTCTTACCAGTCACGCTACACCAGGTACTCAAATTGTACCAGTGCTAAGAGCCAGACGGCTTGAGTTTTGAATCATTGGGTTTGTAACAGTGTTTCAGTAAAATTCTTTACTATTATAATGGGAATGCCTTTCAGAATTTATTTGGAGTTGACTTGGGTCTCATTTTCCGTGAATACATTCTTCAAATGTCCTACAGCTATGGCAAGATAAGCAACATCTTTATTTATACAATGAGTGCCTTAAACCTTGTCCTTTTGCACAGTTGGGACTAACTCACCTGATTCAGTGATACACATTCCATTTCCTCAAACAATTACTGGAAAAGTATCAGGCCCAATGTGACTGCTTCTCAAACTCCCAGCTAAGCACAGGAAGAGATTTAGGATGCATCAAAGGATGAAATTTTTCTACTTACATATTTATTCCTAGTTCAATTCTCCATTTTGGGAAGTGATTTGAGCATACATCTTTCTTTTTCTCCAGCAATGGACTCCCTAGAGATTTTGTATACAGAAGTGGTATTCACATTTCATCATTTATATTGTACAGGAAGCATTAACCCATTTGGATTCTCAACTATATTTGAAATGCTTTCAAAGTTTCCCCTAAGAAACAAAGATATGTGTTATACCTTCTCAGAGTCAAGAAGGCATAAGCTTTACACTTGAAATAGTTTACAGATGGTTATTTTAATTATATAAAGTGTCAGTCACCTTTGAGGTATAACAGACCATTATTTTGCCTATAATTAATGTAGTGGGAATTAAGTCAATGGGTTTATCTTTTTGGTAGCTAATACTATACCATGTGTCTTCTTTCATATAAACTTCATTGAGTTCAAAGCCACAGATTAAAAACTATAAAGCCACTGCTAGAGCTGTGAGGTAATCTGATCTTACAGTGGTTGTTACCATACCCCACTAAGAAGAATCTGTCAAAAGCCAATAATGAGAAAATCTTGAAAGCAGCAAGAGAGAAGCTACTTATCATGTACAAGGAATTCTC